AATGAAGCAAGAGAAAGCAGAATTATAACTAAGTACAAATATAAAGCACAATAATTGAGAAACAATGACAAAGAACACCATCCTCAAGTCCGTGAACGCGCATAAAACGGCTTAAGGCACACGACATAAACTATTTCAGGTCGCACACGTCAGCCGTTGAGAGTTCGTAATGCCATCGGAACAACCTCGTCGTCGTCGAGTGTGTCGAGACGACGAACCACCCGGTACGGTCTGAAGTACCATCACAGAAGTTTTTCACTGGGGCCACGTCCACGTATCGGCATCCACACGCAAACACGGTCAACTGGCTGGTATTCCACGAAACTTCGTCGAAGATTCTAACGGTGGCCGTCGGCCGTCTGTTGATTTATGATGCGGAGACGGGCAAGTTGTCAGGCTTCTTTGGCACACTGAAGGTAGACAGTCACGCCAAGGTTTTTTTCGTCAGCGACGTCTGGTAGCATGGCATCGAGCGTCGTGGCCGGGTTCCTTCTATCGACCACGATGTATCGCGACATCTCCGTAATCTCCTGCACCAACGTGTTGTATGTGAAAGTCACGTACGGAAGGATGGCGTTTCACGTCTTGTGTTCAACACTGACGTACATGACCAACATGTCGGCAATTGTCTTGTTTAGCTACTCAGTGAGGCAGTTGGTCTGTGGTTAGTACGCTACCGTGTGGCGCTGGCTTGCCTGGCTGTATGGCAAGATCGTCTGAATTAGCTCAGCAGCGAAATCCGTAACTCTGTCAGTGAAGAGGACCTCTTGTGCTCCACGACGCAGGACATTGTTTTCAATGAAGAACTTAGCAACCTCGGTGGCACTGTGTCTAAGTAGGGTCCTTGCTTTGGCATAGTTGATGACGTAGTCGGTGGCGACAATGATCCATTTATTCCCACAAGTCGACATAGAAAACGGTTCAAGTAGGTCCATACTGCTTTGACGGAATGGTCGGTGAGATGGTTCGAACGGCTTATGGAAGTCTGCTGGTCTTGTCAGCGTTGTCTTTCGTCGTTGACAGTCTCGGCATGTCCAGAGGTAACGAGTGACATCGGCAGCAAGTATTCTGGCAAGCGTACCGGAAATACCGAGGTGTCCAGTTGTTGGGTCGTGTTGTAGGGCCTGCATTACTTCTTGCTTTCGCTTCTGAGGGGACCACAAGAAGGTGTTCAGCTTGTAGGAACGAGAAGTTCTGTAGGATAACTCCGGTTTTCAAGAAGCACGACGCCAGCCGTCTCCTGAATGTCTTAGGACCAGTGATACTGTTACCGTCGAGGAATTCCACAAGGCTTTTGAGTTCCGGGTCAGCTTGTGTCGCTCGGTGAAGTCATCGGCACTTGTGGTTCCCAAGATGCAGTCATCAATCGGGTCGTTCAGCAGAGGTGGTTTGGCAGGGGCGCAAGCAAGGCAATCGGAATAGAATGGAATGAAAAAACTTCGTTTCAGTCCTACAGGGCGTCTTCCGCGTAGAGAATGACAGTGTGTACCTGGCGGCCGCATCGTGGGCCTGCTGGACGACCCATTGCTGGTCAGTGAGAAGTGAGCTCCTGAGAGACTTCTCCCATTTGTTTGAGGTGAGTCAGGGGGAGTGTTTCTACACTCCTAGAGCAAGTGTGCGAGTGTCGTCGTGTGTTCACACGAGGGACACTTGTCGCGGGGGTATGCATAAAGATAATAAACGTGAAGCTTTGCAAGGTTTGGCTACGTGTGCGTCTGTAATGGGCGTAAGGTCAGCGCCTGCGGCCTGTTAAGTTTTGGATGTGGGGTGGGAAAACGCGGCGTTAAAGGTAAAAGTGCTTTGTTATGTTTTTGTACGTAATTGGTGCATCCCAATTGTTCTCTAACTCAGCGAGATGAGGTTGCCCTGTGGCGGCGCGGTCGGTATGTGCGTGCGCTGCATTATGAACGATCTTGTTGAGTTGAGGTTGGATGGGGCACCCTAAACCTGGCCGAGATGGGCGGGGAAGCAGATGACAGTGTGCTGCTTCACGGCACTCGGATCCGCTCTGCACAGGATATGTAACACCTGATCAGAGATGACTCCACGTTCGAAGTCTTTGATGGCCGGCATGGAGTCGGTGTGGATGAGTTCCCGATTTCTGTCGAGCATAACTATAGCTATAGCTACTTGCTTCGCTACTTCGAGGTTTCGGGTGAAGATTGTGGCAGACTTAAGAATCTGCTGCGCGACTGATACCACGACCGCAGTGAAGGCTCGGCTGTTGTGATATGCGGTGGAGTCCACGAACGAGACGTTGTCCAGCTTTCATGTCTATGCGCTTGAGAATGGCGGTCGCCCGCGCAAGGCGCCTGCCTCTGTTGTACTCGGGATGTCCGATGGTAACGTCGAATCCCTGAAGTCTCATGCTCTATTGTGTGAGGTGACTCGATGGGTCTTTAAAGTTAGCTAGTCAACACAAGGCGTTGTGGTCACTCACAACTTGGAAGGGCCTGCCGTTAACGTAGGGGCTAAACTTTGATGTAACCCTTATGACTACAAGTCACTGCTTTTCTGTTGTAAAATAGTTGACCTCTGCCTTTTAGAGCGAGCAGCTAGCATAACTGATGAGTGTTTTCACTCGGTAAGTTCTCTGCCCAAGAACAGTACCGAGTCCTACACTTCTATAGCGTCTGTGTATTTCCGTCTAATCTAAATGCAAGAGTGAAGGAGGCGTCTGCTGGCGTCGTTTCAGTTCCTGAAATGCTTGCTCATGTAGAGTTTCCCACTTCAACTCTACGTCCGTCCTGGTAAGGTCAGTGAGCGTTGCGGCAATATGGGCTTGGTTTTAAAGAATTAGGCCTTCAGGCTGAGAAATCGGCACAAGGCCTTCTGTTTGATGGGCTGCGAAAATTCAGTGATGGCAGCCCTTTTCTGCGGGTAGGGACGGACTACAGACTTGCTAATCACGTGTCCCATGAAGAACTTTTCATGCGCGAATCTCCACTTTTCTAACTTCAGGTTAACCGGGAGGTCGTGATAGCTCTAAGTGCAGCTTCAAGGCGCCGTAAAAGCTCGTCGAAGCTCGAGGAAAACACGATGACGTCGTTGAAGTAGTCGAGGCAAGTCTGCCACTTCAATCCTGCCAGTACCGTATTTATAACACGCAGGGAAGTAGCAGGTGCCGAGCAAAAACCGAATGTCATGACCTTGAACTCGAAAAGGACGTCTAATGTTATAAACGCATTCTCTCGGTCTCTATCGTGGACTTCGGTTTGACAAAAGCCATTCTTGAGGTTCATCGTCGAGAAGTACTTAGCGTTGAGGAATCGATCCAGGGTGTCATGTATTCGTGGGAAGTTCTTCTTTGTCACTCAGTTTAGGTTACAATAGTCGATGCGGACACGTAGGATTCCGTCTATCTTCTTCACGAACAGCACGCTGAGACGCCCAGAGAGTCTTAGACGGCTGGAATATGTCGTCGCGTGGCATTTTCTTGATTTGTTTCCACACGCCATGGCATTCTCGCACCGAAACTCCATAAGAGCTTTGACGAATGGGTCGCACCATTATTTTGTTATGATACAATGTTTCGCGACTGTGGACCGTCGAAATGTTGACTCTGACGAGAAGCAGTCCTTGAATCGCAAGAGTTTTGACATGGGCTTGTTTGGGCTTCGGAAGCCATGGGTTGACGTGAAATTGGGTTGGGAACGTCAACTCGTCGAGGCAGGTTTGCAAATGTCCCGGAGGGTGAAATGGTGATTGGCGCCAACAAATTCGGCTATGTAGGTAATCGTCGTAACTAATGTTGAGGTTCCTGTATTCTTGGCTGAAGTTTGTCACCAATCCCTTCCCTCTCCCGTGACTCAGCTCAGCGATGCCGCTTGCAACGCGAATCTGGCGGCTAAGGAACAAGTGCTTGTTGCCCTGAATTACTTCTAAAGTATGCGTGTTTCGGTGCCGATGAAAATGATTTCTCTTAAGCAAGTCAGAATGGTGACTTTTTTTCGAGCACATTCCGTGCGTGTCTTTTTTGGGCTGTGGGGGTGGGCATCATGTTTTTTGCTGTTACTGTTGCGGACTCAGACCTCAGGTCACTGACAGCACCGTATTCACTTAGGAAGTCTATCCAGAGTATCACATTCTTTGAGCAATGTTGAGGCTCGCCGATAAGTATGGTTATTCATGGTGAATCTTCTGTGCAGACTCCAGTCAGTGTTATAAATGACCACCGGCTGTCCGGGTTTCAGGGACTTTCCATGCAGTCTTCCCTTTTTTCAGCTTCGTCGCGAAGGGCCCACTGACCACGGAATAATTGGCGTCAGTGTCCAAAAAATCAGTGCACGCGGTGGCCGTCGAATAGTACGTCGTGGTCACTGGTTCATCGTCGTGCGTTGCAGTTAGGTTGTATCGTCAGATCGCGGCTATGTCAGCTTAATCCACTGCTTCCGTAATGCCTCGTGAGGTGTTCTTTGTGCTGTGACTTTTCAATTGATTGAATGATATGTGGGGTTGAACGTCCCAAAACCACCATATGATTATGAGAGACGCCGTAGTGGATGGCTCTGAAAAGTTGGACCACCTGGGGTTCTTTCGCGTGCGCCCAAACCTGAGCACACGGGCCTACAACGATTCCGCCTCCATCGGAGATGCAGCCGCCGAAGCCGGGATTCAATCCCGTGACCTGCGGGTCAGCAGCCGAGTACCTTAGCCACTAGGCCACCGCGGCGAGGCAATGTGAGTTTTGAACGTCAAGGTCGCTTTGGTCTTGCAGTGGTTGCTTTCGGCTTCGTTAAGGCATCTTCGTTTGTGGCGGCAGACAATCTTCGATAGGTCATCGTACTGCAACCGCACCTCAATCCATTGCTGCCCTTAGTTTTCCGATATGGACTCGGGGAACCGAATTGATTGGATCTGGTAGCGTTGTGGTGACATGTAGTGGCCTGGCTATGGTGAATGGTAAGGTCGTTGGTGTGTCCGCTGTGCTCCTACAAGGAAGTCGGTGAAATCTTCAGTTCACTCACCACTTTGTGGACACGGTGCGTTCACATCAAGACCGTGTAGCCCCATTTGACGGTACTGGCAGCAGCGGTAGGTGTGTCCAGGTTCGCCGCACTGGTGGCATAGTGGGTGGTGGTCGGGAGCGCGCCAAACGTCGGTCGTCCTGGGCGTGTATCACTGGCTGGCTGTCGGGCAGTATGACGACGGCGAGGGTGATGGTGGTGTCCGAGGGTGAAACTGTGGCGATGTGGCGTCTTGGCGTGGGCGTGGAGGAGGAGCTTCACGGCGGTCTGCTTCAGCATAAGTATGGCTTGCAGCGTCTCCTCCGGCAGCTGAGGAATGCGAAGCAATCGCTCGATCTTCTGGAAAGCGACGTCAACGATGGAGTCTGCTTGAGGCTGCGCTGAAAATAGCAACTTTGGCGGCTCCTCTTGCACAGTCGCTCAGCTCGTCTCACGCAGCTCAGTGGTTCCTAGCGCTTGGACGCCGGCTTAGCTTGTAGTCGAGAAGCTCCGGTTGTAATGCTGAGTTCAAATCTCGAGTGTCTTCTCAAATGTAGATGCTTCCGGAGAAAATCCAGCGACCGTGTTCGGTGGGTTTCAGATCAATCCGACGTAGAGTTCTTGTTTGACGCCCCTGATAACGAAGCTCAGATTCTTTTCCTCGGCCATGGTAGTGACAGCGTGACGAAACAGCTGGGTCATCTCTTCGACGAATATGTTCACGTTTTCGTTAGGGAGCTGCACACGTGTCTCCAAGGGAGTATCGGCACGTTCTTTGTGAACGACACCTGCGAAGCTGTTGATGAACGTCCTTGGAAAGAGGTCCCAAGGTTCTTAGTGTAGGTTCCCGGTTGTCGAATTACGTCTTTGCAATGTCTTCTAGGTGAAAGTAGACGGGGTGCAGTTTTTTGTCGTGGTCCCAGCTGGTCAAGGTGGCGATTCAGTCGTACGTTTCTTGCCAGCTTTCTGGGTAAACAAACAATCTCCGGAAAGTGGGACGCTCCTTCGGCTGCCAGAGAAGAATCGGTGCTGGCAGCATAATGTCACTGATGGTCTGTACAGCCGATTTCGGCGTTTTTGGAGCCTGGTGTTTTCGTGGAGGAGCCCGTATTCTGGCTCTAGTCTTTTTTTTTCCTGTGGCTGACTCGCTGCTGAGCGTTGGCGCTCACGTCTTCTTGACGGTGTGGGCTTTGCTCACGACTGGAGGGGCGAGTTCAGTACATGGTCTGGGAAGCACCTCCACCAGATCTCACGAGGTCGTGACGTGGCCGAACGGACCAGGAGGAGTTTTCAAATTGAACTCTTCATTGAGCTGACTTTGTGGCCAATAAACAAACTGACAGATTTTAGTAAGGCACTCACACTGATAACAGTGCACAGTTACGGCCGTCCATCAATTTACAAGCGGCAAAGCGCGTCTGTGTTTACACATGTCCCGTAGAATATTCCAGTGTTGAGAGTATTTCTCAAGGAGGACATCGTTCGAGTGCAGGGAAGCTAGCAGCAAAGTAGAATTTGAGAAGCGAATCAGAGAGAGAGGTATAGGAAAGGAAAAGACGCAACTTCTGCAGCCCTAATTGGTGCACGGCTAAGCGTCTGTAGGGGGGAAGAGGGGATTAAAGATGTGAAGAAGAAAGAAGAAGAAGAGAAATTGCATCTATAACCAAGAACGTGGTGGGTGGCTTCTATAGCCGGTTGACTAGTTCAGTGTGCTCAAGGAAGTGAAGAACCGCCTTGAAGACCTGAGTGTGGCGCCAGGCAGAAAAGAGAAGGTTTCATCTGCCCCGCACGCAGTGCACGCAGGGGACAAAACTTTGCCAAGCCGATGACGCTGGAGCGCAGGCCAGGAGAAGCCGATGCATAAGTGAAGTAACAGGGACCTCTCCCTCCTGATGCTACCTCGGTCAGGCAGCCGGGTTGGTGGTTCCGTCCTTGCTACACGATCGTCAGAGTGACAGCGTAGCAACAGCCTCCCTAATGTGAACCGCACTCTCCCACAGTTTGTGGTGCCCTGAATGGTTAGACTAGACACTCTGGTGCGTGTTCTTGGTCTGGGATTCACAAGAAGTGCCTTTGTTTTGGCCAGAGAGACAGCCAGACCTACAGATGTGACCTGGTCGACTATAGCATTCAGTGCACTTTGCAGGTAAAATCGGGCAGTTCGCAGATTCCTGGTAGGGCCCCAGTTCCACAAGGCGACGCCGTCAGCATATGCGAAACATTGGACTGGGTAGCACTGGCCGGAAGGAATGACAGCTGGCAGGCGTGCCAATGCTATGTTGAATAAAAAAGAGGTCTGAGAAAACCCTGTGGCACCCCTGTCGATAGCAGTTGTGGACAGCTCAGCACGTGGCTGACTCTCACGCGGAAGAATTGGTACAAGAGAAAGCCCTGCACAAAGCACAGCATGCGGCAGTAAACTCCCAGGGCTGCTAGTTCCTGCATGACTGCCAGGTGCGGCAGGCCATCAAAGGCATTTTGCACGTCCGAATGCAATAAAAGAGCCGCCTTTTTTATGCTCCAGTGTCGCGACGACGTCACTAAGCGAGTGTACTGTGCAGCGGTGGCTTGAAATTATAGTCAGCTGCTCAGGAAAGTAGTCCAGGGTCCTAGAAATCCACTCGAGGTGCGCAAAGACCATTGCTTTCATTACCTTGCAGGAGGTTGAGGTAAAAGAGACAGGTCTGTACAATGAAGGGGTCGATGCTGGCTTACGCGCTTTTAGGATAGGCACGATGGTGGCAGTAAGCCTGGACTTTGGTAGCTGTTCGCTGTTCCAGATGTCTTTGAAGTAGTCAAGTAGCTGGGCCTTCTCACTTTCTGCCAGATTGCGGAGCATCTGGACCGTAATTTTGTCCACTCCCGATGCACTTCGGCGCTTCGAGCGGTTGAGAAATGCGGTCAGTTCATGGGGACAGGGACGGCTCATTGCTCTGGGCTGCCACTATCTTAATGGTAAAGACAGGGTGGTGTATATGGGGTATACATACTGGTCTGTCAAAAAGCCGGGCCTCTGGTTGTAGTCTTGGTGGTCTCGTTGCAATTTTGACTCGCCATGAGGTCCACCAGAGTGAGCTCCAAGAGGTCCAGAGAGTTGGCCATGGCCAGTATAGGCTGACAGATGGCTGGCCTGTGCTGAAGCGATCGCAGAAGCCACCACGCAGTTAACTGCACCGAGAACTGGATGTGGTACTGCAGACACTCTCCCCGCTTCGCTTCCATCATCGGTTTACGTGGCGTCTACAGACAGAGTCCAGTCACCTGAAAGCTGTTCAATCGTCTGCCGTGGAACTGCGGATGGCACGGTGCTTGGCCCTTCTTCCCCGTGGTCAACAACTGTAGCTGCTTGAGCTCAGCAAAAGGACATGCAGGCTTGGCTCACGATACGACCGTAGCCGCTTTAGCACTCTCGACTGCATACTGCAGGAAGTCGCCCTCTGGAGGAGTCGCACTGAGTCGTCGAAAAATGCCCCACTTTACCGTAGAGCCATCTCGTCTCTTGGGGGAGGGCACAGTGTTGGTGTTCAGGAAAATTGGGAAGTGACCGTGATTCCCAGGATGTCTGGATTGATCGACCAGGTACACGCACAATGCTCTCTTGTGACACCAATGTTAATAGCAGTACGCACGCCACTGTGCACAAAGATGGGCTCCCCAGTGTACAAAATCTTGAGGTCTGCTCGAAGGATAACATCCGCAGTGGCTTAGCCCCGAGCACAACAGCTGTCTTCACCACAGGCAGTATGGTTACCGTTCAAGTCCTCGCAGAGGAGAAAATTACGGCCCAGACGAGCAGCTAGAGGAAACAGACTGGAAGCGTTCCAAGGTTTATTGGGACGCACGTAGAAGCTCTCCACAGTGGTGTCCCAGGAGCCTATACGCACCGTTACAGCACAACATTCCAGCGGGCCACTTGTGAGGTCATTAACACGGACTACCATGTGTGCGATAGAAATACGCGGCACATCACGCAGCGTCTTGTGAATGGCCATCCACCATGCCTGGTGGATGGCCATCCAGAAGACGCATCCACAAAACAGAGAGAGACATGTGAAGATTGGAATGCTTACGAAATTATCACTCAAGACCTACCAAACTTTCCTACAGGAAATCACATAACAAAAGATTTTCGATAATTCTCGAGGTATTTCTTTACTGTTAGAAGACAGAACGCTTGAATTGCGGACCAAGACGCACCGAACGCAATGTGAATGCACAAACAAGTTATGTAGTGCGTGTGGAGAGGAGGAGAAAATAACTGAACATTTGGTAATGTTCTTGTGAAGGGCTCCACCGTATAGTCGAAGATAATAGCGCGGAAGTTTTCATAACATTGGTGTTCAAGGACATAGTAGACAAAATAGACTTTAAATTCATAAAAATAACCAGGAAGAGGCTAACTAATTAGTGGCTACAATCCAGTTGCGATCGAACTTCAAGGCTTCAGGACCGAGTGATAGTACTAGCTATAGTTATAGTGACGCGTGCTCATGTGGTAAACAAAAATTAACTTATCGGGTGACTTTGGCTATGAAAAAAATGTCGATAAATGCTAAGTTTGATGTTTCAATTAAAATACTTAAAATGGAAACAAAAAATTGTTTACTCAACTTTGGTCTCTGTTAGGTATATTGTTTTCTTTGATATACTCTTAAAAACAATTTATATTGTTGTACTTGCAAGTGTAGCTGATTGATCTATTTATCATGTCACGTGTTTAGTTATATTGTTTTGTTAACTGTCGCAAGACTGTAATATGGAGCTGAGGCCTTTGTCAGGCACCCCAGCTTTTAGCCCCGGCTTCCTTTCGTTTGAAAGGAAAGAAATTTCACTTCACCTCACTTATTTAACTTTATGGCTAGGTGACGCGAGCTACCATACGATCTAAAGGGCGTAGCCGGATACATTCATGTATCCATTCGTTTAACTTCCGCCGCCTTTCTAGCAAAAACCGGCCGCTCGGTGTCCCGCTCCTGCCTTCTGCCTGCACTTCTCTCAGCCGGTTCCCACGCTCTGGACTCGGTGTTCATTCTCCTTCATTTCAAAAACCTCTTCCTTGTCTGGTCACCCTGCTCGTACAGCGTCACTTCTGGCTTGCTAAAAAGGAATGAAATTATTGTAAAAGCGCTTTATTGGTGTGAATTTCACCAGAACCGAGAGCAATTCAGCGACAACCTTTTCGGGCCCAAGCAAGTCAAACACGATGTCTTTGAACAAGTGCTATGTCCATGTCCATGGTGAACAACTGCCTTTCTATGACATTGAAAGTGAGGTGACGGAGTGCATTCTATATCTATGTTACCGCTAAAGTGCGCAGTTTGCTGAGGCATGTATGTATTTTCGGAGTTGTCGGCAAAACACCACCACGCTTTCGCATGCGTTTGTATATAGCGTTCGGATTTTGAGTGCATGGATGTCTAGTTTGTCACGCGGCTTTAAATTTATAAGAAATGCAGTGCGAAGAGACTAGACTTAGGTCTGCCCAGTTGTGTCCCAGGTACCATTGCAATGCACAGTGTGCAGTTTCATAAACGTTTCACTTTTGTAGAGGTTTTCACTGGTTGTTAATAACGTGTATCATAAGTTTAACGCCAGTTTGAATTTCTTACAGCTCCTCTGAAAGCATATTGAGACGCACTAACAAAAAAGTATCTTTTGTTTGTTTCCACCATATTTGTTTTCTGCAGCGCACGTTTAGTTTCGGATAATATACATGTCATTGATCACGCAGCGTGTTCACTAATTCGAATATTGCTTTGGTAGTTTTGAAGGGTCACTTGGTTTTCGTCGCGTTATACAACAGCACGTAGGATCGAACATGTTTTAGGGGCAAAGCTCTTTATGCCGCGGGTGGTTCCCTTCTCTGTTCTCTGCACATTTATATGTTTACGTTATCGAACTTCATGAGCAGCCCGGTTATGCAACTAGTAATATATTCTCCATATATCTACATCCCGCTATTCAGGTATAAGCAAAAAAATTGCGAACAATTACTTCGCAAAGAGCGACAAGCTTGAAAGAAATAAAGTTCTACTCGATGTTCTAAATGCACTGCTTCAAGCACACAGCGGTTTTTTTTTTGCCTCCAGCTTCATGAAAACCGTAAATTTACTCTTTTCTCTGACGTGCTGCTGCACTGAAACACGCAGCAGCCATGCATCGCCACGAAGAACGACGCTCGAAATTTAACTCTGAAGCGAGTTCGGAGCAGGGAGCCTGGAGGGTTCATGGCGTGCGTGGTGAATGAAAAGCACGCGAAGTTCATTTAGATTCCCTTCACGAGACGTCATGGTCACCTGAATAGACGTCAGGCTCTGCCCAGGCGGGGCAGCGAAAAACGCCGCCATCAGCGCCCCCCTCGACGCACCAGCCATGAATGGGTAGTGCGAAGCGAGCTGTCCACAAGTGAACGTGCATAGGCCCTCCTGTTTTGTTGGCCTTGAGGCACGGTTTCCTGATCAAGGATCTGGCAAGCTTCTTACTTCAATCCAAACTCGCTTCAGAAAAGTACGAAGCTCATCAAAGCAAACTGTGGGTACAATGCGAAAGTTGTTTCAGTTAATTCGGCGCACTACGACTTGCACTTTAAGTGCAAGAGAGCATCGCATGACATGAAGTTACCGGCAAGCACTCCAATGTTCGTTCTGTAACGCCTAAATGCGTTAAACTTGGGAATACACATGATGCCAAAGCCATGAAGGGCATCCATGAGCAATCTATCTTATCATCAGTGGTACGAGAGTGGGCACGGCAGCAGCACACACGGCAACATGTTAAGGAATCCGTTCTGCTTTGTTCTGCAGGTAACGGCGATTCTTCTTGGAAGCGTGCTCACACCGCCCGGCTGCAGTGCAGAAGCAGCAAGTGCCGATCAGATTGCAGGAGCTGGTATCCGGCTATCATCAAGCGGCTATCACCTCGTCAGCAACACGAGCCTGTTCCTCGTTCAAAAGTATCCATGGATGCCGACAGGAGGAGCGTCTCATCAGATGACGTCACAACTTGTGCAGCCCGCAACCAGTATAAGAAGAGAAGAAGCACCGTCGTTCTTCAGTGGGCACGGCAGCAGCACAAACGGCAACATGTTAAGGAATCCGTTCTGCTTTGTTCTACAGGTGACGGCGATTCTTCTCGAAAACGTGCTCACACCGCCGGGCTGCAGTGCAGAAGCAGCAATTGCCGATCAGATTGCAGGAGCTGGTATCCGGCTATCATCAAGCGGCTATCACCTCGTCAGAAACACGAGCCTGTTCCTCGTTCAAAAGTATGCATGGATGCCGACAGGAGGAACGTCTCATCAGATGACGTCACAACTTGTCCAGCCCGCAACCAGTATAAGAAAAGAAGGAGCACCGTCGTCCTTCCGTGGGCACGGCAGCAGCACAAACGGCAACATGTTAAGGAATCCGTTCTGCTTTGTTCTACAGGTTTGTAAACATTTGCCTACGCATCGCTACCGCAGCGATGACCAATTTTTAGTGCTGTTGCCTTGTCCCACAATGATAAAATGTGTACTTAGTTGTATTTGTTCCTTACCAACCAACTTGTTAGTGTGTGGCGATATTTAATCAAATCCTGGTCCCACGAAAAAGGAGATGTTGGAAGCGCTCATCGCTGGTCAAGCCAAAACAAATGAAATTATAGAAGCTATACGCAGCAATCAGAACGTAATCGAAAGTAAGATATCGACCTTAACCGAAAGGGTACAGCGGATGGATCAGCAGCTATTGCTGTTGAACAAGTTGGGGAACCAAATCTGCGAAATAGAAACATGAGTTTCTAATTTCGAACAAGGATTATCGTCGCTATCTAGAAAAGTAGATGACTTAAAAATAGGAGCCGTAGAAACAACCTCACTTTATACGGCCTAGACGAAGTTAAAGGAGAGACAGGCGAGGAGCTGCTAACAAGAGTAAAGGATAAGGTACT